CTATCAACAAGATAATAACTCATTGATTTTTTTGTCAATGCCAACAATTGGCACACATCGGGAAGTGTTGTCAAATTTTTAAATTGAGAGTAACGCTGAACTTCAATTTGATATAGCTCCAATTGATTTTTCAAATGCAACTTCTCTAGGATTTGAGTTATTTATTTATTTAAGTAATTATTAGATCTTTTGTTTAGATCTAAGATTTTTGTATGGTTGAATTTTAAAATGTAAGTTATTGAGTCAATATTTATTAGTGGAAAAAAATAAAAAATTTGAAAATTTTGCGGAGGTGAGTCAAAATTTTTGCAGGAACGAAACTGAAAAATACATTACATATTAACTAGGAATAGTGGACAAGCGGCTAATGTTGGAGGGCGGTCGCCCCACCCCCCGCCCCCTATCCCCGTCTCTGTTTCAAACATCCAAACAAAAAATTCCCCAATTTTAGTGGAGTAAACTCCTGCTTTAGAACGATATTAATTCAGAAAGGAATAAAAGCGACATTTCATAAAAAGAAAAGATCAGAAATGCATTGGTATTGACAATGACCAGTTCCTATCCAACAAATCAAAGGAGAAAAAAAAAAAGAAAAGAAAAAACTTACCGTATATCGGAAGAGAATCATCTTTTATGATCTTTAAATTGGGTCTTTCTAACTCCAACAGCCCCGAGGAACTGATTGATGATGGCCTCACTCTCCCTGGCATTTTCCCAGTCCCCTATATGACTATATCTCTCTAGAAAGTGCGAGTAAATAGCAGGTACATAATCAATTTTCTATAAGTAGAGCAATTTCGAATCACGCGCCAAAAGAAGCGAAAGTGAAGAGAGCGGGAAGTAAGATGGAGGGCCGGATCCACAAAATAGATCAAATCGGAATGGTAAATTTACACAAATAGCACTAATTGGGCATAAAAGGATTCGACACTTAGCATGGAAAATGCCGCTTGTACGCTCTTTCCTTTGACATGATTGTTGACATTGTCAGTATTGACAAGTATTGATTTGGTGAAAAAACTGTGTAAAATTTAAATTGTTCAATAATGTGTTGCCATATGACAAAGTGTAAAAGAAAATATAAATGAGGATGTACGTATAGCATGATTGTTTTAGCATACCTTAATTTTTGGATCATGCTAAATGTACACAAAGGTTTGACATATTGGTTTACACCTTGACCAGTTGACATATTTTGGTGTATTAATTTTAACCATACATTTTTCAATGCAAGGCCAATTTTTTTACACATAAGGGAGTGTAACCCAAAGTATAAAGAATATGCGTACAAGTAGATTAATCCTTTTTTTTTTTTTTTTTGAAGGGTAGGGTGGAAATGTGACATCACTTTCCATTAATAAAATTTTGCATATATTAGGAAGCACAATTTTAAGAAATTATTATTGATTTTTAAGCCAAGTACTGTTTTTGAGGTTGAAATTAAATGAAAGAATACGTATGGTTTTGGTTTAGAATTTTTTGCACAACTTTAGGAAATTTTCAGGATTTTAGACCACGTCCCAGCCAGTTCAAGTCTACTTCATTTTAAGACATCAAATTACGAATTCTGCGGTTGAAAAATTCAAGATTTCAAGTGTATCATTTTTACGATATGTATTTCTTGAACATATATGTTTTCTCCCATTTTCACATAATGGTTAAATTGTAACGTGTTAGGATGATGATGTAAACCTATTTTGAATCTTAAATTTCTATAATCTTGTTTTAGTTGCTCCAAACATTTGCTTGATGTTTGATTACTCGTTATTGTGTAAATTGTACTTTTATTATTAGACCAATTTTAGTATACGTTTGAAAATGATATTGAGATTGAGAGGTGAATGTGTGTTTAGCTGATCCCTTGACAAGAAACATAGATTTTGGTAAGGAATAAATATATATTCCTATAGTTTATGCGATAGTGAATGATGCTTGGTTGGGATTTATGCGTTATTTTGCATAAGTTAATTCTTATAGAGATATAATTAAGGAATTCATATATCGTAATAGGTTTGACTATACCCAAGAGAGATTGTTGAACATTGAAAGGACATCGATCATCAATGCAAACAAACATGTAATGGAAGTTGATTATAGAAATTAAAGAGGATATTTAGGTGAAGTCAAAATCCTAATACTATCAAATTTTCTTTAAGTTAATTTAGTTAGCCTTAATGACTTTAACTTTATTTGTTGCCTCTAAATTAATTAGTTTGTTAAAATGATAAAAAGAAAAATTTAAAAGAATTGTGTGTCCTTAACAAATAGGTCAATCGTCGTAGAATTGATACTCCTTAACACTTCATAATAATTTGTTCACAATTCACGCAATTGCAATATTGCGTGTAGATAGCGAACATAGATGAGAATTAGGTAGAGGTGGCAATCGAGCCGAGCGGCTCGTCGACTCGGCCACTCAGCTCACCAAAAAGAGCCCAAGCTCGGCTCGTCATTTAAACGAGTCGCTCAGCGAGCTGCTCGTTTTGACGAGCCCACAAGCCAAAGCTCGTTGGCTCATCGTTATTACGAGGCACGAGCCTCTCGGCTCGTATATATAATAATTTTTTTTAAAAAGAAAGTGCATAATTGTGATCGGAACGGTCACTGAATCACTTTTAATATCTTTTTATTTGTTTTTGTTTCCTTTTCTTCATTTATCTAATTTTCTTCCCCTATAAATACCCACCTATTACAACACTTTTTTCCCACCCATTATCTTGATTTTACAATTCATTTTATA